TTAAGTCAATTGTCAACAAAAGCTAAGAGAGCTTATAGAATTATTTTGGAAAGATGAAATGAAATCAATTGGTGCAATTGTGTGTGTATTATCTTTGACCGAGATGACTAGTTACTAAGTAGAGTAACTGTATGGTTTAAGATAAAGAAAGGAACCTTCCAAAGAGAATAGGTTGAGTAGGAAATATTGTCTAGGATGAACAACTATTAAATAGAAGAAGAGTTCATTAATAGGTCAAGAGAAGTTATATTTTGATAATAAAAGTTTAATGGACTACATATTGACCCATTTATCTATGAAACTATATTATAGGATTTGATATTTGCTCGAGCCCCTCAAGAAAGCCAGTAAAGAAGAAATCTGGACAAGGTAAACTGAAAGAAGAGACTACAGGTAGTGACTCTTTCCCTCATATACTTGTATTATAGTTCTACATGTCTGTTTGTGCCATAGCACCTATATTCTTTAATGAATATATGGTGGATATGTTCTGTGACAAACAATTATGTGCTATCCTTAGGTATGAGTATGTGGAAGTTGCTTTGCATTGAACTCATAGAGCTATACTCAGGTAGAGGGGAATTTTAAACTTGATATAGATAACCTTCTATATCTCTTCTATTACTCCATAATAGGACACTGACACCAATGTTGGGTTTCTATCTTTTGAATTAGCAAAATGCATAGTTTCAGCTACTATTATCACCCTACTATTCTGCATAATACTTTTATCATCTTGGGTTTTTGTGTAAAATGAATAACCATTTATGTCATATTCGTCCCGACACACAACCTCAAAACGAGGCCCTATAGCTAGCCTTTATATTATCTTAGAAAGATTGTCACCCTTTAACATACACTTTTTGCTTGAACCACTCTATAAACGACTTGTTATGCTCATTAGCTAGTTGCCTATCATTCTTTCTTAGATTCAATTTCTTTAGTATATTCTTGTGAGCATCTAAGTAAGGCAAAACTTTATCCGTGTTGTTTAAAATATATAGATGTGTCTGCATTACAACTTCACGAGACATGAACCTTACTATAACACCTCGTGTTCCCTTGCTTCTCCCCTGATCATGTCAAGATTGAGGAAATCCAACTGCATTTACCCTATCAAGATATGCGTTACAAAACTCAACTACCTCCTCAACTACATATCTCTCAACAATTGATGCCTCTGATAGGGGTATCCTAAGGAAACATTTCACTGTGGGAGATAAAGTTCTCTTGTTTAGGGCCAGATTTAAATTTAAGCAAGGGAAATTAAAAACAAGATGGGATGGTCCTTATAAGGTTACTAAAGTTCACAATTTTGGCATGATTGAATTGTTGGATGAAGAGAGTGGTAGGAGCATGAAAGTTAATGGACATTTGCTGAAGTTGTACCATGAGAATTTGGAGCCTCCTTGATCAGGTTGCTTCTTTCCCTCATTAACTTTTCTTTATTTCTATAATTGTTGTGCTTTGTGCTTTTGTTTTTGTTTTTGTTTTTTGTTTTTTTTGTTTCCTTTTCCTGGAGATAAGTGTGGGGGAGAGAGACAATACTAGTAGAAGGTAACATAGTTGTTATTACATCTGTGTGAACTCCTTTCTTGATTTTGTTCGACTTTGGCTTTACTGATTGTATTGAGGACAATATAATAGCTAAGTGTGGGGGAGAAGTTGATTAGTGCTGTCAGATTTCATATGTTCATTGCTGCTGTCTTCTGTGAACTGAGTGAATTCTTTTTGAATGGTGGTTGCCATGTATTGCTGTTATTAAACACTCATATTGGCTTAGTGAGTGTCTTGCATAGCGAATTCAATTTTGTTCTACCAGCAAAGTTTGTGAATTACATGGACATCATGGCATTACTTGAATTAAATTTCTGCACATTTTGGCTTGGGTACTCTGATCTTTCTGACATGACTAAATTTGAGTTCAATTTCTCATTGATTATTACAAAGTGAGCATGTCTTGGATATGAAGAAATTGACTGGTTGTCTGATTCTGTATAATTAGCACAAAAGGAGTGAGTATTCATAGCATAAAAGTTAGTCCATTGTGCAATGTTCCCCTGTTGATGGGCTGAAAGGAATTAACCTTCATAGAAGGAATTTTGGGCCTATATTTGCTTCTTAAATATTGAGTGACACTCTCTAGTACTAAGTTTCTCTAGAACTTGTCCCAACTCTTGATTGAGGCCACATATATACATTTGATAAAGTGTAAATGATAGAGGCATTCTTTTCTAAACCCATTCAGACCCAAACACAAACTAGAAACACTTTAATCCCTTGCTAACCACTTTGAGCCATTCATTCTCCTTGTTTCTACATGACTGACCAAATTGAGTTGATGGCATCTTATTTTGTCTAAATAAGAGTTAGGTGTATCAACTTGAATTTAGTGGATTATACCTGAGATCATGAACATTTGAAGCATACTTAGGCATGCCGTGTTGAAAAAAAAAAACAAAAAAAAAACAAAGAAAGAAAGAGAAGAAACAAAATAAAAAAAATTGAAAAAAAATGAAAAAAAAAAAAGAAGAAGAAAAAAAGAGAAAAAGGATTCTGGAAATAGAAAGTAATAAAAATACCAGCAGTAGTGTGTTGTTAGTAAGTACCCAAGTTGGAGTAACTTTGTAAAAAAAAATGAAGAGAAAAATTGGTTTATTAAGATCTATATTTCCTTAGAATGCATATGAGCTTGATTTGGTCAGATTTGCAATTTGCTTCCATTTCCATCTTAGCCTTTCCAACATTACAACCTATCACAAGTCCTCTTGATACATGGATTTAATGTTTCAGAGTGGTGGAGGTATTAGAGTTTTGACAAGCTTATGGTAGGACTTGGACTGTGAGAGAGGAGTGAAAATAACCTTTATACAAAAGAGAAGAGAGAAACACTTTTCCCTTGTGAGTCCTGGATGCCCATTACCAGTAAAACTATTGCTCTTTAGACTGGTTATTACGCTGTGAATGGTTGCACCTTGGTTGCTGATTATTATCTGTCCATAATAATATTTGCCACCTTCATACTACTCATCTCATCGGTCAGCATCCTCTGCCTCAACTTAAAGTCATTAGCATCAGGTAACCATCTACCTTTAAACAAGCTCACTCTATCCCCTTTTTTTTATTTTCCAAACCAGCTTCTTCTTCAGCAAGTCCTTATCATCTTGGCCTTGGCATAGCCTCCATGAACTCCTTATTATTAAAATAAAGACCTTTTAGGATCTTACTCCATAACTCATCCTGGCCTTAGCATAGCCTCCAGGCAGTCTTAGCCAATAAAGCATCATTAAACATCATAAAGTCACAAAAACCCATTCCTCCATTCCCTTTATCTTTACACATATATTTCCAAGATTTCTAGTGAATTCTTCCCTCCTCCTCCTTTTGTCCCCACCAAAATCTGGCTACCAAACTATCAAACTCCTTACATACTTTCTTAGGGAATTTGAAATAGGACATGGGAAAAATAGGAATCGAGTTTGCTACTGCCTTTACCATGATCTCTCTTCCTGTAAAGGTCAACAACCTTTGCTTCCATCCCTGTATCTTGGAGCTCATCTTGTTTTTCACAAACTTTAGAGCCCCTGCCTTCGATTTACCCCACAGCACCGGCAAACCCAAGTATTTACCAGGATCAGAGGAAGCTTTAATTCTCAAAATCTCAAAGACTTCATTTTTCACTCTCTCAATTGTATTCTTGGAAAAGAAGATACAGGATTTATCTAGATTGATTATTTGTCTAGATGCTTGAGAGTACACCTTCAAAATTTCCATTAACCTTCTACATTTATTACTTTTAGCATTGATAAAGAAGAGTGAGTCATCAGTAAAGAAACAGTGAGATAGAATTAGGCAGTGTTTCGCTAGTTTAATTCCTCTTAACAAACCCTTATCAACATGCCATTGTACCATAAGAGACGAAGCATCAGCTGCAACTATGAATAGGAAAGGGGAGAGTGGATCACCTTGGCGAATTCCTCTCTTCATTTCAATCTCAGCAATTTTTTTCCTCCCACCACAAGATTCAGTATCACAAACCTCACACAATCCATTATCACTGAAGCCCATTTTCCTCATTACTTCTTCAATAAATTTCCACTCTAATCTATCATATGCTTTATTCATGTCTACTTTCACCGCCATCTCATTTTCTTCCCTTTTTCTTATTTTTCAGATAGTGATAAGCTTCATGTGCCACTATGATATTATCTTGTATCAACCTTCCCTCAGTAAAGGCTCTTTGATTCTGTGAGATGATTCTAGCTAGAATAGGTCTCATTCTATTAGCTAGAATTTTGGACACAATTTTATAAGCAAAATTACAGAGCCCATCGGTCTGAATTGCCCCACACTCTCAGCATTTTCTACCTTTGGAATAAGCACCACATCCATTTTATTTAAAGCAGATAAACTGGCATTATTGTTGAAAAAGTTCAGAACCATATCAGTTACCTCACTGCCAACAATTGACCAAGAAGAATGATAAAACATTCCAGAGAAGCCATCAGGACCCGATGCTTTTGCTCCTCCTAACTGAAATGTTGCTTTCTTGATTTCTTCTCTTGTAACCGCTTCCTCTAGCCTTGCATTTTCTTCCTTCTTGACCAGTTTTTGAACAAGACTCAATACCACTTCCAAGTTACTACAGCCCTCAGACGAAAACAGTTTGCTATAAAACTTCACAAAAGAATTATTTATCTCATCTTCACTTTCCAGCCAAACCCCTCCTTCTCCTCTTAGCTTCACCACCTTATTTCTCGCCCTTCTTTGGACAACGCTTGAATGGAAGAATCTTGTGTTCCTGTCTCCAGCCTTCAACCATTGAACTCTTGATCTCTGCCACCAGTAAACCTCTTCCCTATCCCAAGCTTCCCCAATTTGATTAATAAGTTCTTCCATTTCCTATTTTTGGCTGAAGTAAATTCCCCTTGTCTACATTCTTCCAATGTCAAAGTCAGATTTTGTATTACCTTACGAGCATTAGGAAAGGATCTCCTTCCCTATTCAGAGAGGACTCTCTTATAGTTTTCAAGTCTGCATACCAATTCCTCCACCTTATCTCTTCCCAAAACATTACACTGTAGCCAACCTTTTTCAACTGTTTGCAAGTAATCCTCATGCTCAAGCCATACTGCTTCAACCTTGAAGGATCTCTGGGTCCGAGCATGCTTGAACTCACAATCAACAGCAAGAATATGGTGGTCTGAACCCACTGGCTCTACATGCATCACCAAAGCCAATTGAAAAGCCTCTCTGAATTCCACATTCCCCACTGCCTTGTCAATCCTTTCTTTCACATGATCCTCACCTAGTCTTTGGTTGCACCACGTGTAATGAGCACTAGCGTAATTCAAATCCAACAGAGCACAATTAGATAACATACTCTGAAAATTCATCATTCTTCTAATATCTACTGGTCGCTTTCCTACATTTTCATACACAGAGACCATATCATTAAAGTCCCCCATACATAGCCGAGAACCTTGCACCCCATTCGCAATGCTTCTCATCTTCCTCTAAACCTCCTCTTTCTCTTCTGCTCATGGTGCACCATACACATAAGTCACATACTCTAGTACTTTATGCACAACTGAATGCATACTTGTATGAATAATGTTCTTTGAGCAATACCAAATATCGATAGTCACGTCCTTCTTCCACTATAGGGCCAATCCACCGCTTTTACTGATCGGTTCAACATACATTTCTTCATCCATGTTACATCGTTTTTTGATTTTCATCATACCAGCTTTCAACATTCTAGTTTCCATGAGGAAGATAACTGAGGGACTCCTCTTTAAATTCTCTTCCCTTAGTTTTTTTAATGTCAAAGCTCTTCCCAAACCTTAATAGTTCCATGCAAGGAAAATAATGTCCTCTTAGTGGCTGTTTGAGGCCAGCCACTAGTACCCTTAGCATTTCTTTCAGAAATCTCACATTTATTTGTTTCAGTGGGAATAGAAATCTCAATACTTAATACAAGCTACTCCACACCCTTATAGCATCTTGCCTTTCACTTCAGTTCCCCATCCCTCCTTAGTCTTCTCTTTAGTATTCTTATACTCCTTCTTTCACCAAGTCCTTTATTACCTTCCTTTCCCTTACTTTTATCATCATATTGATCCGTAAAGGACAATCTTCTTTTCTTGGATTGCTTCTACTCAGTGTCATCAATCCTGACTCTCTTTAAGTTAATTCTTCCAACCCTCAGAGCCATTTCTGAGACCGGAGATGCATTTCATACACAACAACTACCTTAGACAGATCCTCAGCAATCCTTGGAGACTCCATACCCCCTTCTCGAGCTCCCTTGCCATCTGGGTGTTCATTAGGGATTATATCCCTTGTAATACCAGGCATTATTTTTGCCTACTTTTGCTCTTCAACTTCAATCCCCTTACTCTTATTATATGTTACCTCTTCATAGACACTTCCCGACCTGCCCTCATTACTTTTAGAATCCTCCCTGGCTCCCTTCGTAGAGATAAGACTCTTGGAAGCATTACACTCTTCAACCTTTCCTTCCCTTATTCCTCCTTCTTCATCTTTCTTATCACTTTGTTGATTCATATGTAGATTCCTGCAAGCTTCAACTTCCTCCCACCATTCATTACATTCCACCATCTCGATCTTGGTACTTCTTGCACCTGGAACACTTAGTCAGCTGCCACATTCCAATTTGGGATTTCCGTCTGTTTCTGTGTGCTCTGATCGTGCCCAATCCTCCCACAACGATAGTAAAAATTTTGTAGCCTTTCATAACGCACCTTCACCTAGACTTTATCCTTTTCTGGACATGGAGCCTAAATTCCAGTGATCATACTTTTCCTTAGATCAACCAAGACTCGAGCTCTTAAAAAATTTTGAACTAATAAATCACCCTGCCTGGGATTTTCTACCATCATAACCTCACCAATCACACCGCCAAGTGTAATCACATGTTCCACATCCATAATGGAATATCATGGAATTGGATCCAGCACGGGCAATAATCAAAGCAAACATCCTTATACACCATATAATCCTTCCAAATCTGAATATTTAGCAACATACCTTGAATTGATCAAGGTTGTCCTCGCAGAATCCTCAAATAATCATCTCTGCATCTGAATTCAAAGATGAAGGCCTTCTCGTCAACCTCAATAATCTCCATGTCCTCATGCTTCTCCAGATTCCATCCTTTTCTAATCATCTTCATTACTGTAGGCTTGTTAAAACTCTTTTCTGTCGTCATTTTTCCTACTAAAGCACCTCCATTTAACTTGCTTTGCTCTCTTTTTTTTTCCACACAAGCTTTACTTCCGAGTCTCCTTGCTTCTTCACTACCTCACACAAAGAAGCCATCGTACTGCCACCTATTAATTTCACACTCCTCCTAGCACTAGATCTCACAAATTCCTCCCTGTTGCAATCTGCAACAGATCAGACGCTCTTTTTGGTTTCGTCGCAGTGGGTGGCGGAACACACACTCTCAAGAAATGGTGATAACCACCCTAACAAACTCTCACTAAGGAGAAAGAAAACTCTCATAGGGGAGAGAGATTAAGCGAGTTGGATCAATAACTAACAGGCAACTTTAAAAGCAAAGCAAAGCAAATAGAATAGAAAGAAAGAAACTACTAGAAATTGAAGTAGGAAAAGATAAAATAAAAAAAATAAAATTTTAACTCTTAAAATTATTTTAACTACTTTTATTTTATTTTAAAAAACCTAAGATATTTACAAGAGGATCCCCAAATCATGCTCAAAATCAAAATATTCTTTAAATATATTAAAAATAGAGTTATTACTCAATCAAAACATACACAAATGTCCACGAAGTTAAGTGTACCTGAATACACATAAATATTTCATATTTAACTTCAAACTAACAAAACAGACATGACATAGCTATGGATCAGCACACAAAATAAGAAGTCCCTTCAACGACTAAATATCACAACTATTATACTCCAGCACACAGACAGCTTTACGACTTCCATCCATCCCCTCCTCAGTTCCCTCTTATAAGGTGAATAATATCATAAAACATTGGATTCTAGAACACCCTATTTGCTGAAGTATGGTTGATCAGTGATTATTCTCTTGTGAAAAACAAAAAAAGGATAGATAATCAATGGTCTATCAAGGCTAAAAACTGGTATTACAGAAGGTTTCCTATACATATAATGCACTACCATCCAAACAGAGCATCATCCCCACTTCCCAAGATATGAAATATCAAAATTGAAGGTTTCTCTATTGATAACCATGGGCAAAAAATATGAAGTACCACAACTTACATCCATATTAAACACTATCAGATCCGGCGAGATTAGTTTCTTTGGGTACTTACAATCATGATCACATAAGTTGAAGTCTGTCTTGGGAAAAACTTTGTCAACTTCGACAGTCACCCTCCATATCTCTATGGGAGGATAGACTTGATCAAGTTTTAGGTTAGCAACAGAGAAAACAGAATGGATAGACTTGATCAAGGATAGACTTGCTTGAATTTACCTAGATGAGACATACTTATAGCACCACTGCTCGAACTTTTAGCCTACGTGACAGAGAGGCCAAGTTCATGAGGGTAGGACAATTGTCGTTAGGGAGAGCAAAGATGCCATCCGACTTTCTCTTCACAATTAGAAATGAGACAGAGATGAAGAAAAAAAGAGGGAGGATGGAGATGACTCAAGATGAGAAAAATGAAATGGTGATAGAAAATGAAAGATGGAGAAGGAAACGAATGACCAATCAATGAGAATGGAGGGAATTGTAAAATTTGAAAGTGAAATCTAACAACTATAAGGCCTGTGCAAGAACTAATCAATGAGAAAACAGGCTTTTTTACTAACATGCTAGGAAAAAAAATTTTACCCACATCTTATCCAATGAAAAATATTTATCAAGATACTATACTTAAAGTCGTATATGCAAAGAATGAATTTAAAATTGTAAGAAAATCTTTTATGTTAATAACGATTTTAATTTAGTTTTATTTTTCACATCAACTGATACTTATATTTTTTTAATAAAAAAGTAAAATAGTTCTTTGAGTCAACGATTTTATCTTTTTCATATTTTGTCTCCTTTCCTTCCTTCTTTCATCTCCAATTTCTCATTTCTCTTTAACTTCAACATTTTCATCCTTTCTCTCCCCTATTTATCCCTTTGCTCCAGCGTCTTTTCCTTTCCTTTCTTTTCTCATTTTACTGCATCTAGTTATTTGGTTTTGAAAAGCAAGTAGATGGACCATGTTATTGAATGAAAGCATTAAAATATTGTCTCCATGAAAATGATGAGGAGAGAGAATGGAAGACTAAAGGTGTTGTACACTTATGATGTTTCCAAATAAAACATGAGTAAATGTGCAATTTTATTAGTTTATCTTATTTCTCAGGTGCACCTAGCATCCTATTTTTTCAGTGTTGCCAATTTACTCATGACCTTTTTATTTTGGTGCAATTTTACTCATAATCCTTTTATTTAAGCACAATCATGTGTTAACATGATCCATCTACTTGCTTTCCAAAACCAAATATCTAGATACAGTAAAATGAAATAAAAAAGACAAGATACTAGAGCAAAGGATAAAAAGGGAAGAGAAAGGAGGAAAATGCTGGAGTCAAAGAGAAACGAAAAATCAGATATGAAAGAAGGAATGAGACGAGAGAGAGTCTGAAAAAGGTAAAATCATTTACCTAAAGAATGATTTTGAAAATTATCTACATGAAGAACGATTTTGCTTCTTTATTAAAAAAAATATAAATGTTAGCTGATTTGACAAATGGAATTAAATTAAAATCGTCCTTGGTGTAAATGATTTTCTCACAGTTTTAAACCCATTCTTTGCATGTATGACTTTAAATGTAGTATTTTGGTAAATATTTTTTATTTTGTAGGATTTAGGTAAATGTTTTTAACCATTTGTGGCATGTTAATTAAAAAACTGAGAAAAATGTGCCCAAAAAAAAAAAAAGAAAATGCATGAATCCCAAAAATAAGCCACAACTGTTCATAAGCTAGTATTATTCATAGCACCATAATTTGAGTAAGGAGCCAATATGGAGATAAAAACAATTCGACTTGAGTTTTATTTTTATTTAATATTTTAGGTTGATTTCATATTAAGAATCAAATAGAATAATTCTTAGGTGCACGTGGCATCCTATTTCTTCAGTGTTGCAAATTTACCCATGACTTTTTTTATTTTGGTGCAATTTTACTCATAATCCTTTTATTTAACCGCAATCACGTGTTAGCATGATCCATCTACTTGCTTTCCAAAACCAAATATCTAGATACAGTAAAGTGAAATAGAAAAGATAAGATGCTAGAGTAAAGGGTTAACAAGGGAAGAGAAAGGAGGAAAACGCTGGAGTCAAAGAGAAACAAAAAAATCAAACATGAAAGAAGGAATGAGAGGAGAGACAGTGTGAAAAAGGTAAAGTCATTTACCTAAAGA